GCATTGGTCATTCTGTACCATGGCACCCAAAATTGTTTTAGAGCATTAGCAAGAAAACCCAGTAGACTTACAAAGTCGTAATTTGGTACACACACAGGTGCATTATGACTTGACTAACAAGAACCCCATGCACATGAAATTTCTCTCATATACAGACGTTTATTTGAAACGTGTTTGTCCTCACCATCCTTAAACCAGTGATTAAATATTCGAGAGATTTTCAGGTGGAGTGCCATAGCGGTTGCGAGGGGTGACGTGTTATCCTAACAACCTAGAAAACAGGTGTATATTACCAACACAATGTCTACAGATTACTTTACGTGTGTTTGGCAATCAACTCCAGAAATATAATCGGTCCCAGTCACTAATCAATTACTAATAAGAGAAGCCAACTTGTCGGAGCTGAAGACAGTTATTAAGCGTGACAGATTTCTCACCAAAAGCTGACCAAAATTTAATGTGTTCAAAGGAGCTAACCAACAGATTTGGGGCCATTTCTAATGAAGAAAACAGTGGCTCACTTTGGTGTCAAGCGTAACCTCCCTGAGCGATAGTCATCCAATAAATTAGAGACATTATTTTTGCACACGTGCCCAAAATCTTGAAAAAAAAGCAAGCTTTTAGTTTCTGGAGCGTACACTGCTCAGACCTTGAAAAATTCACAGCTTATGTATATGAAATGTCCGATCACCGCAATTCCGCTTACCGTTTCTTTTTGTCTGAGTAAAAAATACACTAGGTTTTTGACTTAGAATTTTCGAGAGTGTTTGCGTATACCTGCAATTCACGTGGGGTGTTTCAGTAAGTTAACGGAAAAAGACGACAGCAAATATTTTGTCTACTGTACAGTTGGCAGATTTGTAGACAAAAGAAGAGAATAGATGCCTTGCATTGCCCACAAATTCTCCTACTCGGTTCTTTGATCCTGCGCTGAATGACGTTTGCATCACACTTTGCAATCGAAATCACCGATGGACCATCAGGGATACAGAGTTGGCCAGGCGGTCCGGTGGTTAGTGTGAGCTGCTGCATTTTAAGCGCAGTATTTCAGCTGTCTCGCGAGTGCAACATCAAATAGGTTTTCCACTGGTCCTCACTCACCTGATGCACTTTGACTTCATCTTTTATTGTCCCTTTGTAACTGCTTAGGATTTATTTACCTATCAACAAATACGAGTTACCTGGTTCGTGATTATTTAGTCGCCTTTTTCCCCAAGACCGTCAATTAGGTTTATGTTGCGGTCGCACGTAGCTAGAAAAAAAACCGATTGTCCTAGATTAATTTTTGCCATATTCTTTGTAATTATTACAGGGGGATGAAAAGTTCTTTTTCGGTAATTAGATCACCGAAGAAATAAGGCCACTTATTCATGGGTCCTAAAGGCATTTATCGCAGAGAAAAGACAGATTGCTGAGATGATTGAATCCACCAGCCTTCACATATATACCTCGTGTCTGATGGATAGTGATGATGAGATGTCAGAATATTTTACTAGCTGCGTCACAAAAAACCTCTATTATAGCCACTAATGCAATGGTTTATATTACAATATTAGGCTTCGATTTCACACCAAAATCTACACGCCCCTTCCTTGGAGATACGCTCAAGATACATCAAAGTGATCGTCTGGATTTACGGCAAAGTTCCAAATCTGGAAAAAGTTCCAGTTAAATCATATATCAAAAGTGAAATCTACATTAACCTTCGCTTTACAGTTGACATTTCTCCGATAGGTGTCAGGCTTGCGTTTGCCTTCTAATTTCATAAAAAGCGTTCAATGTAAACCAAATGAGAGGTCTCCAACCATTTGGGGAATTAAGCAAAGTTACAGGCAAATTAACATAGTTCTAATTAATGTGGCGGGCTTTGCATATCCATAAGCCTTAAAGTGCGTCTCGGAGTCAGAAGTAACTTTCTATGACAACAATTTGTTTTTTTCATTTCATTAAGCAGTAATAGATTACTCAACTGCAACATGATGAACAAAGATGACTAATTGATCTGGGTGAATCGAATCGCAAACTAAAAAAATCTCTGTACAACCAAGGCATCCTATACAATGCACTTCAGGTAATAATACGAGCGATGCACGCCAGTAAAGTCATATGCTGTTCACAAATTACCGACAAAATCGTGACATCAGTGATTCACTTGGCTCACACGCTCTTATGTTTCAACATGTGGCATCAGGTTTTGTAAGGCATCAAATTCGCGGCATGCGACCATCCATCTAAGAGTAGGGTGGGTGAGGCCGACAGCCAAGGAAAGTTTTTTTCAAGGTATACACAAGTTGTGTGTCTGAACAAGATTCTTTATTATGCGCTGTAAGGTAATGTAACCTGAACAATCTCCAGAAACGGGAACTTCGTGATTCATACAATCTAAGATTGTAAATCGGTGGGTCACAAATGCCTTAGTGCAGAGTACCTTTCAAAGCTGCGGGGAAAACAGAATGAATCCATATATTAGCCATAAAAAACGTTTATCCGTGCAACGCTTTCATCCGTTTACGCAACGTCTAGAGTAAATTTCTTGACCTGTTTAAGAGAGTATTTGACTGTTCCCCTGAAAACATTAGAATGTCGGTCAAATGCTTGGAAACACACCAGAATTGTGCAGTATTTTCCAAATACATTGTGGTAAATGATCAAGGATATACCTGTAATAAAACAGTTCATCCAAGAACATTTTAAATATGATTTCCAGTTTGCATTCAGGTGATGCCATCTTATAGATTAATCGTTGAGCCAGTTGTTCGTCGTGGAGATGACATATTGTAGAGACCATAGTTATCAATAGAGCTCAACGCGTTTCTCAGGGCTGTTTGAAACATTGTCGAAACATTAGAAATTATCAGACGTTCTCACAACTACAGTTTACAGTTGAGCGCACCTATACAAGCGGTAAAGCAATGTTTGACTTGTGTCTGTTCGACTGACCCGGTACCCAAGTAATATTGTCAGTGAACAGTTATGAAGAGATTCGTTGATGCGTACAGCATTTAAAAACAGTTATTGCATTTGAAAAGGGGTGATTCGGTTTCTGCAAGGCAGTGTCCCGTAAGATGAAACTGGGCGCGCGGTTATACAATTTACATCAGTGCATCAGTGGGTCTTTACTCCAGTAGGCTTGAGAAGACAAATGAGGCAAAGAAGAATGACTAAGGCCACATGGGGAGAGATACTCCTTGGTAGACAGTAAATCAGCCGAGCCGGATACTCACTTTTTAGCACAACATTTTTTTACCTTGCGCTTCACTCAGCTTGTCCTTAGAGTGCACGGTGCATCACCTACCTACAGTGGTTATTGGAGGTCCTCGAAGATGTCGTAAACTTGTTGGGGTGCTTTGGATTGCCATCTGTGTACAGTTGCAAGAAACCCACGCTTGGACACAAGTCGGTAGAACTCTTACTGTTGCAACTAAATTGATGAACTGGAATCCATCAAAGAGGACAAGCCTGATTTGTAGAAAAAGCTCACTTCTCAGGCTATTCTTTCGCTCTGAATGTTACGCTAATCAAAGGCCCGTCTGATGATGTCTCAGTTTACCTTAAATTTAAATAGACAATATAATCTGGAGGGCCGTACGTGGAACAACCAAATTTACATTTCTCTGTGGGACGCCAATTTGTTGTGTATTCTATGTCTGTCAAAGGCCCTTCGGAAGATTTCGCTCTCCTGTGATAGATATAACCATCTGATCCAGTGTCGTAACTAGGTAAGTCGACCGCCAAAAGGCGTCCCTGAGAAAAAAATCTGGGTGGCTAAGCACAGATCTGCGAATGACACGCTCTTCAATAAAACCGTTGCACACATTTTCGAAAGTCATTACCTCTTAGGATAAAGCTTCTTGGTACTGCAAAGGTGGAATTGGTATAAAATAACTAAAAGCAAAATGTCAGTAGCACTTTGTACCCAACTTCAAGAACTCCTTGAAGAAGATTCTATAATCCACAAAGTCAGCTATCGAATATCTTTACAAGCGTAATAATTACGATCAGCTGAAGTAAGAGACCCAGCAATCGTCCTTTATCGCCTCCTTGTGCTTCAAACTTTGGATCTTGGGCCTTGATATTAACAAAGTTTGCGTCTGCAACAGAGGGTATTTCACCCACCGATTACCGCATATGACTTGTTGGCCCAAAATGTCCTTCGGAGAAAACTTTTTGTAGAATGTTATTCCAGGAGAGCCTTCTGCGGAAGGCCGATTAGGCTTGCATATCATCGAATAATGAACAAGTCGTGTGCGATCGAATTGATTCATTCCTGTGTGCCATCGTCACCAATCATATTACCCCAGTGATGCCCTCTTAGCGCTGACATTCACGCTCAAAATAAAGCAAGTTTTGTGTGCATCCCGCTGGTTTGAAAATTAATAGATGCAACACTAATAATTGTTTGGCAATAATCATTCGAGTGGATCCAGAAATATGTTCAGGTTGCGGGTACCACACAACCCATGTTTCAGATGCATTCCCGTCAAGTGTTTGTTTGTTTTGACTTGAGGTGAGTGTGAGGTTATACGACAGCGGAGTAACGACAGTGTCGGTTTATTGCCTGAGATGATGACCATAGAGTTTTTCTTTGAAATTGACGTGTTTCCTGTCAGATTCCTTGCATAAGATAGATTTACCGTCCTACGTTATGGGTTGGGCGAATTGGCAGTCGCATGATCTTCAGCTTGGACGTAAAGCAGAAGGGAAATTCTTACATTTGTGCCTAATTACACAGCCTCATTCTGTGTTCTGTAGCTAATCTAATTGTGTGATGCTCATTGCCTATAAGCCTTTCTACAAAACAAATACGACCCAAAAACCAGCAGCAAATAGGAAGCTGTCAAATAAAATGCCTATTTTTGTTGCGTTCAACAATGGTGTTTATCATCAAATCCCACAAAGTGGGTTCTAGATACCCATTGCGTTTCTGTGCGTTTCAGTGCAGACAAAAGTAGTGCTAAAATGTTCATGGAACGTTCCAATCGAAGATACTATTCTAACAGGTGTTGCTGAGTGGTTGTTGGTCTGTTCGCCGAGCTTGGCAGTTGGACTGCGGAGACATCAACGGAACGCTCGGAAAAGAAGAAATATGTGAACTACTGGAATTGTGTATGACAACCTACTTTGAGTTCAATGGAGAATATTACGAACAGATCAAAGGAGCGCCAATGGGGTCACCAATCTCTGGATTCATCGCGGAAATTACAATGCAGAAACTGGAGCGAATCGTACTACCAGATATCAAACCGAAAATATGGGTACGATATTTAGACGACATATTCGCTGTTGTAAAGAAAAAGGAACGGACTGACTGGGTCAAAGGAAGACAATCACGAAAAACAGAAGGCGGATCAAATGAGCAAAACCCACCCCACAAAGCAAGAAGGAAACGACCGAATCACAATATGACAACCACATAAAGCCGAACTGATTGCACCCAACGAACCAACCAGACACAGGAGATTGAGACCACGTGAGATTCACAGGAGACCAATCAAACTACACGAAGACCATTTCCAGAAATGCCAGATACTATTCAGAAGCTATATAATCACGGGCAGAAGAGGAGGAATTCACCCTGCACTGACGATGTCACCTCGATTGGTGATGAAACGTTTGCAATCCAACTGCC